ATCTATTAATAATGAGGGATCATTAAAATTAACTTTCTAAAGAAAAGGCACACACATTAATGGTTCTGAGGATTGTTCCTACATGTGCTCCTTTTTGAAAAAAAAAAAGCGTGCAAACTGTAAGGAAAAAAACATTTTCTTTAAAGATTTTATTTATTTATATGAAAGAGAGAGAAAGAGAGCACAAGCAGAGGGAGAGGGAGAAGCAGACTCCCTGCCGAGCAGGGAGTCCGACACGGGGCTCAATCCCAGGACCCCAAGATCATGACCTGAGCTGAAGGCAGACACTTAAACTGACTGAGCCACCCAGGTGCCCCCAAAATAACATTTTTAAGTAACTTCTGCACTGTTAATAAATATGTCAACCAACAAAAAGTTGCTTCTTGTCATCAAACTTTGATACAATAAGTAATAATAATATAATAATATAATGCAAGTAAAAAGAAAAAAAAAGGATACCTCATTTACTGAGAGTCATTTAACTTTTCATGCAGACCGCTTTCTGAAACACACATTCAAATAAGAAGTAAGACATTGAAACATATCACACAGTTACTAATTCTTTTTTTTTTAAGATTTTATTTATCCATTTGAGAGAGAGAGAACACAAGTTTCAGGGGAGGGCAAAAGGAGAGGGAGAAGCAGACTCCCCACTGAGCAGGGAGCCCCACACAGGGCTTGATCCCAGGACCCTGAGATCATGACCTGAGTTGAAGGCAGATGCTCAACTGACTGAGCCACCCAGGCATCCCAGTTACTATTTCTTAATGTACAAATGCTAAAACATAGTTTGTTATTAAAATCATCCAAGAAATGCAGATTCACATTTCTTCCTAGAAATTTCTTTTGCATGTAATTGGCAAAATGAAGAAATTTAACAACATCCTAGGTTTGTATGTGTATCTTTTAGCTGCCCAGAGAATGCAAAAATATTTTAAAACCCAGAGATGATATGGATCTAATTTATGGTTTACTGTCTTGCTAAATTAAGTGGATATAGACAACATTCAGAATACACCTTTTTTAAAACTGAGAAAATGCCATCTATGCTATTTGTAACAGTTACTTTTATTTAAACAGAAAGACAAAAGCATTCATGTGATTCCTCAGGCCAGCACCGTTTTGATGTGACAAAGAGAAATAATCATCAAAATGCAGCTCCATAAGTAAGTGTCTGATTTCACACTTTTAGAAAACATGAAATCTTTCTGGTTGAGCCAGCAAGAATTGAGAAAGATTAAGAAAGTGTTTAAAGATGTTCATTAAAAAGCAGTTATAAAAATGTGAAAGAGACACGGCACCAAGCATGCCAAATAGAGTAAAACTGTCATCAAAAAGATTCAACAGCTACGAAAAGAGTTCTTCAAACTTACGTTTTTTTCCTAGATAACAACATCTATCAATTCCAAATGTCCACATTAGTCATGCATAAAGGCACCAATGTCTCACAGAAAACAAACAAATCTATTCCAAGGAACCTTTGCTTTTTATCACATCCACCAGAGAGGCTAGAAAAAGTCAGCTTCTTGAGAGTGTAATTCTAAGTGAAGTTTTAGTTCTCAGTGTACTTTTTAGACGTAAGATGTTTTGCCAGAACATGAACATTATAGCTATTTGGTTTTGCTTAAAGTTTTTTAGTCACAATTTTTATTATTCTATTTTTATTTTATTTATTTTTCAGGCATTGCTTTAAAAATTATAGAAGTACTACATACTCATATTAAATTGGGAAATAATACAAGACATATAAAGAAAAGGTTGAAATTTCTTTTCCTTCTCCAAAATCTCTACATTCATTGCCCTAGGAAATGTGCTAATAGCCTGATGTGTTTTCTTCCACATGGGTTTCCTTGCTCATAAATACTTATGAACTTATATATACATGTATATCCATTTTGATTTTTTTATTCTTATCGCATTGAATTTTTTAAAAACCAAAACAGTAATTCTGCAACTTGCTTTTTAAATTGAACTATGTGTCCCTGCCACTCAGATCAATACAGTTGATGATTAGCACAATTGTTTTAATAGCTACAAAGCATCTATAGTATGGCTTATTCAATCATTTGTGTGTGACTGTGTGTGTGTGTGTGTGTGTGTGTGTAAAGGGTATTCAGGGATCTCCCCTCCCCACTACCAACAAGGCTGAAAAAAATATTTCTTTTTTTTTTTAAAGATTTTATTTTTTAATTTATCTGAGAGAGAGAGAATGAGAGAGAGAACACGAGAGGAGAGAGGTTCAGAGGCAGAAGCAGACTCCCCGCTGAGCTGGGAGCCTGATGCGGGACTCGATCCTGGGACTCCAGGATCATGACCTGAGCCGAAGGCAGTCGCTTAATCAACTGAGCCACCCAGGTGCCCCGAAAAAAATATTTCTTAATTCCCTTTATTTCATGTTTGTATACTATTTCATTAATTTCTATTAATTTTTATTATGTTTCTCCACTTTCTTCGGGGTTTATTTATGGTATCTTTTGAAACTTCCTTTCCACAATATACATTTAAAGCTATGAATGTCTCTCAGGGTACAAGAGAACTATTCAGGTAGCTGCAGATCAGCCTCCTGAAGTAGGGAGCAGTAACGAGAGGAAAGCCAGCAAAGGGAAAATGCCAGGTTTCCTTGATTTCTTTTTCTTGAATGGATTCCCCAATTTTTTTTCTTTAGTCACTTGCTAATACTTTTAAATGGATTATACTTATTATTTGTCTAGCTATTCTAGTTTTAGATGTTGTTTTTTTTTAGTAGAAATCTTGGTTATAAATGACATATTCTACCATTACTAAAACCCGAAGTTTACTTTTATATATGATGTAATCTATGTTTTTTCCCCCAAATAAGGAATTATGTAATGTCATTAATTATATGAACCATCATTTTCCTCAGAATTAATGAATGCCAATTTTGCTAAACCAAACATTTAATTATGAACTAAATGTTTGGCTTAGCAAAATTCACATTCATTTAATTAATAATTAATTCATAACCAAAGTATATAATATATAATGTAATCTCATATATATAAAACTGAATCGAATTCTGGTTTCTCTCTTCTGTTAGACTACTTATTTGTTTATTCCTTTGGCAGTATTTTTTATTACATTAGTGTTATGATTAATTTGAGCATTCCAATTTTGCTATATCAGTATTAAAAATCATCTTCTATATGATTTCTTGGAGTACTTTGAATATTGTAACTTCCAATATCTAGTTAGTTTGCAGGATGGTGAATCTTTATAATGTTAAGTCACCTCATCAGTGAACAGGATATGTTTATTTACTTTAACTCTTATTTGTGACATTAAAAAAATTTTATCTATAAGGGTCTTTTTTGAGTCTTTTTATAGATAATCTAGTTTTGTCACTTCTTAAAAATGGTATACTATTTGCTTGGGAAGTTCTGACTATTTAGCTGTTGATTTTGTGAGGTTTTCTATGTGGATGATTTTATGAGGTTTTCTATGTGGATGTTTATAAAATATACAAATAATAATAGTTTTATTTATTTTCTAATTCTTACATATGTTTTTCTTTTCTTGAGCATTGGCCAGGATTTCTAATATAGTTTTAAATAGTAATAACAATATTGAACATCCTTGTCTCGATCCTGCTCTTGATGCCATTAAGTTTCTCTAAGTATTATGTTTGTAGACATTTGTATATGTAGCTTTTATAAAGTGAAAAAAGGTTTCTGTGTCTAGTTTTTTGAGCCTTTCAAGTAATAAATAGACAGTAAGATATTTGTATTGCTTTCTCTAAATCCATTAAGGGAATATTATTTTCCTTTTGATCCATTAAATAATGAAATACATTGAAATTTATCTGATATTGAGCCATCCTTTAATTTCACAGAGATCCTTACTTAAGAAATTCTTGATTATTATTTAAATAGTCCATTCCTTCTATTTGTACTTATGTTTCAGAAATTCCATTATAAAGACGTTGATGCTTCCTTCATTTCTTAGCTCTTAGAGTTCCCAGTTCTTTATTACTTTTTGACGTCTTCTGAAAAAAGTTATTCAATCTGATATTCTTACCCACTAATTCAATATTTGACTATTCATCCCCTCGGATGAGCTCTTTACTTAAACAATTTCATTTTTCATTCTCAGATACTTTAGGTAACTGCTTGCTCCTCCTTCATGTTATCACTACCTTATCCTTGTGAGAATTTATATTTATTTTAATTTCTTCATTTGTTTCCCACAGCTGACGGCTCACAGGAATTTCCTCACTTACATCTCACTTGCATGACATAAGACAGTTTTCTCATCTGTTCCCATTTGTTCCAAAATGGTTTTTAGTCATCTCTAAACTGCAACCACTGTATTTTTATTCTGAATAATTTTTGAAATCCACATTTCTCATATAATCCCAAACTTATCATTAAAAAATCATTTATTCAGGGATAGTTACTAAATCTACATTCAACCTCTTTCCTACCTTCTTTAATTCTGTCAGGTGAACTTTATAATAATCCCAAAGTAGCTTTGAGGGCTGTCATTTAAGGCGAATATGTCTTCCTCAGATAGAACATTGTTTTCTAAAACATACTGAAAGCCTGATACATTACTTGAGAGGCTTTGTAAGAACTTAAATGTATAATGATTCACTTGAGAGAAGATTTGATAGAACAAGAAACCCACACCTGCTTTACATGCAAACATTTATGTAGTCACTCTTCATGCTTATTCCCCATAATTCTGAAATAAATGAGTCATTTAGGTTATAAATTCCCTCGTAAGTGCAGCTTTTGTACGTCTCCTAGGTAAGTTTTATTTTCAGTTTCTCTTTGACTCAGGGGCTACTAATAAGCGATTCTTAATTTCCAATATTTCACCTTCTATTGCTGATTTCTAGTTTTATTAGATTATCATTGAATAAGGGCGCCTGGGTGGCTCAGTTGGTTAAGCGACTGCCTTCGGCTCGGGTCATGATCCCAGGGTCCTGGGATCGAGTCCCACATCAGGCTCCCTGCTCCGCGGGGAGCCTGCTTCTCCCTCTCCCACTCCCCCTGCTTGTGTTCCCTCTCTCGCTATATCTCTCTCTGTCAAATAAATAAAATCTTTAAAAAAAAAAAATTATCATTGAATATATGCAAGTGTTTTTTTTTTTTTTTCTTGCCCCAGCAAACAAACAAACAACTGGTAAGCCCTTACCCTTCTAGGAGCCATGTGGGAGAAGTCTCTCTCCTCTAGGTACTCTCCTCGTGCCAACTGCATTTCTCTCCCAACTGCAAGGACTGGGAACAGTTGAGGCCAGTCGCACAGGGACCTTTCCGTTCTGATGTGCTGGCATGAGCAAGCAATGCCACCAAGAGCAAGTCCAGGCGCGGCCCCTCTGCAAAGAAATCAACAGGATTCTGCCACTTGGAGTATTCATAAAAGATGTTTGCCCAGTTTCTGAGTACAGTCGTCTTCCCTGCCAATAGTCGCTTGGCTTCTGCCTGGTACCAAAGAGAACGAAGTCCTCCAGCTCCTCTGTCTCCCACGGATCTCAGAAGAGTCCCAGCCTGCTGTGTCCCTTCCAGGTGAGGGAAGCATGCCTCTCAGTATTTTGTAAATTCCTGGAGAGAGAGGGGAGGATGATGGCACCGAGGAATGTGGCCAAAATGTCATCCTCCTGGAATTTCTCCAGCTGGCAGCCAAGAAAGTCTGAATCCAATGTTTCAGTAGCAATCTTAAACACAGATGAAATGATCACATAGTCTCCCGTACAGGTTTAAATGGATCCTACAAATATGTTCTGTGAGATATTAAGAGGTGATAAGTCAAGTACAGAAAGATTATCCAAATAAATGCATTTGGAAAACAGTTACATCTGAAAAGTTTTTCTCCTGCAAGATTTTTAAGAGGCTTGAGTATGTGAGTATATATTATTGCTGTCTAAAGTAGAGTTCATGGTGTTTCTGATTATTTTGACTGAAAAGCACTTTTTTTGTCATATTGTTATTATGGCTGTTGTCATTGTTTTAACGCCACTTCCAAGACAGTATTTCTACAAAACATACTTTGAAAAAAGCTGGCCTTTACTTTTCCTCCAAAAAATTACTGAATATATTATTATTTTCTTAATTTTCAAGAATTTATTATTATACAATTTTAATTATAGAACAATTATACAATTTTAAGTACTGAAAATAATTTATGTGTTTGATAAAGTAATTAAATCATAAAAAATTATTTTACAATTTTAGGGGCTCCTGGGTGGCTCAGTCGTTGAGCATCTGCCTTCGGCTCAGGTCATGATCCCAGGGTCCTGGGATTGAGACCCCCATCGGGCTCCCTGCTCAGCAGAAAACCTGCTTCTCCCTCTCCCATTCCCCCTGTTTGTGTTCCCTCTCTTGCTGTGTCTCACTCTGTCAAATGAATAAATAAAATTTTTTAAAAACAATTATTTTACAATTTTAATCATCAAACCATACAATAGGGGATAGAATATAGAATTAGTCTCTCTCCCATCCTATAATCCAGCCCAACTCCCCAGAAGTTAACACACACACACACAGATTTTCTAATTAATTGTTTTTAAAAATTTATATAATTAGGCACATATTCTAATCCCTGTTTGGGCCATTTTCTTTTCTTTTGAAGATTTTATTTATTTTTTGAGAGAGAGAGACACACACACACACAGTGAGAGAGAGAACACAAGCAGGGGGAGTGTGAGAGGGAGAAGCAAACTCCCCGCCAAGCAGGGAGCCCGATGCACGGAACCCGATGCAGGGCCGGCTCGATCCCAGGATCATGACCTGAGCCGAAGGCAGACATTTAACCGACTGAGCCACCCAGGCGCCCCTGGGCCATTTTCAAAATAGTCTTAATTGTACCTTTGGATATCTCTGCATTACCTGCGTACTGCTCACTTTTAATAATTTCATGATATTCCATTATATGGATATATTATAATTTAACTACTCCTCTATTGAAAGGCTTTTCGATTGTTCCGGTTTTTCACAATTATAAACAAAACAGAAGTGAATAACCCTTCAGATTATTTAGATACACTGAACAGTATAAATGTTTTGTACGCTAGATTTCTAGAAGGGGAATTCCTATGCTAAATATCAAGCATATTTTTTAATTAAAAATTATCTACAAAAGCAATTACAGCAACTTAAACTTCTAACAGTGTAGGAGATTGATGGTTTATTCATATTCTTGCCATGGAAATCTCACATTTTAAAATTATTGCTAATCTGATCCCTGGAAATAAGGAAACATTGAGAAATGATGAGTAAGGCCAGGTATCTTATCACAAGAAGCTGTTTTCAGTTCTTTATTTGTGAACTCTATTTACTTTGTACCTTATTCTAAAAAATTTTAGAGTTTCTTATTTAATTGTAAAAGATCATCTCTATTAAGGAAATCAGCTCTTTCTTACTCTGTTGAATAATATAAGTACTTTCCAAGTTTGTTTTTGTTATTGTATTGTCTTATTTCGTTTATCATGTTCTTATTGCAAAGAAGTTTGAACATATTTATAAATCAAATGTATCTCCTTTTATAGCCTTGGGTTTTGAGTCTTGCGTAACAAGGCATTTCCTATCAAAGATTTAAAAAAAGAAATCATTTACTTCTAGTATTTGTGTGTGTATGTGTCTTTGTGTGTGTGTTTAAATCTTTGATCATTAGAATTTTATTTTGGTATAAACAGTAATGTAGAAATCCTCCCGATGAGCCGTGAAATGACTGTGAACCCGCCTTGACTAAAACCTTGGGAGAGACCCTGAACCAGGGGCACCCAGGTAAACTGCTCCTGAATTCCTGACGCACAGAAGCAGTGAGATCATAGGTACTGTTTTTTTTTTTTTAAACTTCTAAGTTTTGGAGTAATTCTCTATGTAGCAATAGATAATATTCATTTAATCAAGTTTTATTTAAGTTTTTAAAAAATCATGAAGAGATGGTGAATTTTGCTAAATAGCTTTATTTTTTGGTCATTCAACTTATTAATATGATGAATTATATTAACAGAGTTTTAAATAGTGTATCATCTTTATATTCCTGGGATAACCTCCATTCTAAAAAATATTAATCTTTAGATGCACTGTAGGATTATATATATGTGATTTATTTAAGATTTTATGTTGACATTCATAAATGACATATCTATACATATTTTGATTGTCGAAAGTTTTGGCAGTCTACACTTGGAAAAAAATTTTAAAGTATTGGAATTTTCCATTCTTTCAAAGTTTAATTAACTTTGCCTGTGACTCCATCTAGGACTGGTGTTTTTTAAAAGTGAATATTTGGAAATTCTCTCAATTCTTTACTATAATTGTGTTTAGATTTTATATCTCATCTATGACAAAATTTCATACTTTTTTAAAGTATGAAAGTATTTATTTGACAGAGAGAGAGAGAGAGATCACAAGTAGGCAGACAGGCAGGCAGAGGGAGAGGGAGAAGCAAGCTTCCCTCTGAGCAAGGAGCCCAATGCAGGACTCTATCCCAGGCCCCTGGGATCTTGACCTGAGCTGAAGGCAGACGCTTAACTGACTGAGCTGCCCAGGCACCCCCAAATTTAATATTTTTTAGAATAAACTACCGGAGGGGTGCCTGGGTGCTCAGTTAGTGAAGTGTCAGACTCTTGATTTTGGTTTAGGTCATGATCTCAGGGTCGTGAGATCAAGCCCCACGTCGGGCTTGTGCTGGGTATGGAGCCTGCTTAAGATTCTCTCTCTGCCACTCCCTCTGCCCTTCCTGCCCCCCCAAAAAAGGTAAAAAAAAATAGGATAAACTACATGATATCTGTGTTTTAGTAGCTATATAGAGTTGTGCAAAATACTTTTATTTCTTTCATATTTATAAATAACCCTGGTTATTTGCCCATTTTTAGCTCTCAACTTTTAACTTATGTGAGTTGGAGCTAAACACCCAGCTTCATGCTCACTCACGTGGGACAACTCTGAGGCTTGGTTTGTGGTTTGCCATAATCCCTAGCTGGACAGAGCCCTGTCATCCATGGCAGGAATCTATTCCATTTTGTATCACATCCCATCTGGTGATTTTTTGGATCACTTTCCAAGGAAGTTATTTGCACTGAAATCCTTGTCTCAGTGTCTAAACCCTGGCGAAAGACAACTTAGACACCAACCCAGAGAGACTCTTTTCCAGCAACTCCATAGAAAAATTCATTAAAGCCTTATTACCATCAATTCTGAGTCTTACTCTTTTCTCCTAGGGTCAGAAGAGAGAGAAATTAAGCACTGTGGGATGACAGTCAATGATGAGAAGAAAGGTCTTTTTAGGAATACTATTTTCAAATTCAATGAAGAAGGAACTAGTTCACAAAGAGTGTTGCTCATCATTTCATGATTCATTATGATTATTGAATAACAAAGATCTCTTATATTGGTATAAAATATTGTATTATGCTATAAAAAAGAACTGGTAAAGGAAACTATAGCTGTCAGAATTCTAACTTGCACTTCTTAATTAACTTTATAAAAAATCTGCCTTTGCCCAAACACTTTATCTTCAGAATCTAATGTAATGTTCTAAACTTTGAAGATTCACAACTCTCTCTACAGTATGTGCTTATTTCAAATAATGAAAACTGATGCCAAAGAAAATCAAATAGAATCTCAGTATTTAAAAAAGTAGTCACAGTACCAAAAAAGGACAAATATTTGAATAAATACTTACTAATCTGTTATTAATATAACAGAACTAATCTACCCTTAGAAGATGAGTTTCTCTTGTGATTTACCATAACCTTAGTTATACCGGAGGACTACTATTTTCAATACTGGTTGTGAGTCACTGGGTGTTTATGACAGCCCATCCCTTCCAGCTATGTTATTGGCTAAAGAAGATTCAGAGCAGTACTTAAGTGTTCAGATGAGCAAACCTTATTCTTTCTGATCATGACAAACTTCCTGCTACTACGATGTGCCCTCAAACACATTTATATTATCTTACAGGGAGCTGATTGTCTCAGGAAGGCCAAAAATTCCTAGTCTATTTCAAATGGATATTATAAGAAACAAATTTTTTGATGTGTTTTCCCTGAGAAGTAATTTACTTTTTCCATGGATCATTTAACAACTCTTTTTGATGTCATGTTATTCTTGTTAAATCTCCTTCACCCAAACTCAAACCTCTCAAGGCTGCTTGTGGATTTTGAAGATTGACTTAGCCTAAAAATTCATGTAAAGAATGCCCTTGTGAGCATATGTTTTTATTAATCTGAACTCAATTCATGTTTGTTCTCTACAAATTTATAATTTCACTCTCATAAGATAACCAAAGACAATTTTATAGGAAAAATAAAGTAATTCTTTTTACCTGTATTCTTTAATAAGACCTACATATGTAAGAGGAAATACAGTTTGAATGGCTATCAAAACTGCTATTTTTATTAACATAGATTTTCCTTTGTAAATTTGCATTATTTGCAAAAGTGTAATTCAGAAAAAACTTTTAGTAAAGTATGGATATAATCTTGTTAATAGGTCTGTTTTTCTTCCATTGGTCTTTAAAAATATGGCCTAAATTAATGAAAGTCTGCTGGAGGAAAATTTAAAGATGCTTGGAGGCAAAAATAAAACAAGATGAA